TGCGTCTCTCCCAACCTGTGTGAGCCCTTTCACCTCCCTGTTGGTTCCCTCTTCAGCTGCTGCGTCTCTCCCAACCTGTGTGAGCCCTTTCACCTCCCTTCCGTCCGATGGCAGTTCCCTGACACTGAGGAACTTTTCCCTTCATCTCCGACCTTTCAATATAACTGGAGTAAGAAGACAGCACTAACTTGAGAGCAGAACACAAGACAACACATAAGTAGCAGTAAGAGATGGAGATCCTTATAAGCAAACCTTTGAAAAGAATAATCATCCTTTGAGCATTTCTGTTTATTCAGTAATCTTCCTTAGGATATGTATGGGAACATATGGATTTTAATTATTTTTGTCAACAGATCACCTGACTCAGTTATCAGATCATTCCTGAGCAGGAACAAGAAAACTCTTCCCCCCCCCCCCATAGATTTTATTGGAATATAGAAAAAGGTATTCAGAAATTATTATAAAATACCTTTTTTGTCAAAGTAAAAAGTTAATTTAGATAAAAGCACAAACCACAACAAAAGCAAAAGAAAGAAAGAACTTCTTGTTCCTCGTCTATCAGCTATTTGTAAATGTTATTCAACTCATCCATTCCAATATTACACCTAATAAAACCACTTTCTATAAGCCAACATTATCTTCAGTCTTCAAAGCCAAATGTCATTAGTTCATTTTCTTTTTCACACACAGAGTCTATAAGAGATTCCCAATCTTTAGTCAATGTTTCCCTGATTAAACATGTAAATTTCACCATCTCAGCTACGTCCAATAATTTTGACAACCGTTCTTCCATTTTTGGGAAACATGAGTTTTTCCATCTTTTTGTGTATAAAAGTCTCACCGGTGGAATCATGTCTTGGAATAAAATGTCATAGTCCTTTTTCTAATTGTTTGTCCATAAGTTCCAGCAGGAAGAGTTCTGGTTTCAGTTGGAAGTTAACCTTCAAAATTCTCCGTATCATTGTTTGAATTTGTATCCATTTTTTAATAGCTTTTTTACATCCCCCCCCCCAAGCATGATAGAATGTGCCTTCATGTTCTTTAAAGGTAAAGGTAAAAGGTAAGGGACCCCTGACAGTTAAGTCCAGTTGCGAACGACTCTGGGGTTGCAGTGCTCATCTCGCTTTCAGGTCAAGGGAGCCGGCGTTTGTCTGCTCTGCAGACAGTTTTTCTGGGTCATGTGGCCAGCATGACTAAGCCGCTTCTGGCGCAATGGAACACTGAAACCAGAGCAGCACACGGAAACGGCATTTACCTTCCCGACGGAGCGGTACCTATAAATCTATTTGCACTTTTTGGCATGCTTTCGAACTGCTAGGTTGGCAGGAGCTGGGACCGAGCAACCGGAGCTCACCCCATCATGGGGATTCGAACTGCCAACCTTTTGATCTGCAAGCCCAAGGCTCAGTGGTTTAGACCACAGTGCCACCCTTTAAACCTCCATCTTTAAACTTCCAGCAAGTATTTAGAATATTTTTATACATTCTAAATAACATCTGAGGGGTTAAATACCAACGGCACACCATTTTATTAAAATTTTCCTTTCAATCATAACGCAATGTGTATTTTAACCCTATAATCCCATATGCTCCCATTGTTCCATCTGTATATTATACCCAAAGTTATTTTTCCAATTTAATTAAACATTATTTAACTTGTTCTTTTTTGTATTTCAAATTTAAAGAGTAATTTGTACAATTTCACAATGACATGTTCATCATCTGTACACAACTATATTTCAAAGTCTATCTTTTTTTTGTTCTGATACTGAAAGTCTTTTTATCTAACTTAAATCTCTCTGTAAGCTGTAAATAGCAAAAACTTTGGATGTGACCTTCCCTTGCTAAGTAAGTGCACAAGAAAATTCTTCTGTCAGCAGTCAATAATTAGCTAGAAACTAAGTGGGAATTTTGATTATCTGTATTAAACAACTACCGTAGAGCTATAAAAGGTGGTTGTTAAACCATCTAGCTTTTATGGACTCCTCCTGTGGTATTTCAAGCAAATTACTGCATTTAGCAGTAAAATGACACAAAGTGCTATAAAGTTAACTGCAATTTCATCAGATTCTATTATGATTTACTGATTTAAAAAATAAAAACCAAAATAAAATAAAATAAGAAAGACTTGTAGAAAACGTCACTGAAATTTATGCACATTCTCCCTGTTGCTTTTCATTGATCTTAGATCAAGCCTGCAAATACAGACACAGAAAGAACTATGAAAATGCCATTACAAACAAAAGCAAACCATCTAGTGGATGACTGTAGCTAAAGCAGGGATTAGTCAATGTCACGGCAAATGCAAACAGTGCACCTTTCTTGAACAAAGTAAGAAATCTGGCAAAGCAATGTGGAGATCACAGACTGTGCACAATCCATTGATAGAAAACAAGGTCCAGATGACCTGGGAAGCATAACATCCTGCAATATATACTTCACTGGTTTTTATTATTATTATTATTATTGTGCAGAGAGTAAATCATGAGTCACAGTCAAAACAAATGCAAGGTACGTCAGGGTTTGTACCAGTGACCAGGCTTGACTGAAATGATAGGACAAGCTATTTGAAATCCAGGTTCCAATTGAGAGACACAGTCTAAGGGCAAAGAGTGGACTTAGACAGAAACATAAGAGGCTGCAGAAAAAGTGTGGGAATCCATGCAGCATGGATGGAGATAGGACCACAAGTATTGCTCAGTAGGATGTTGGAGAGATCTCAACAGGGACCAGAGAAAAGGCATTTGTTACAACTCATGGGCCAAACCATTCAACTTGGTTGCACAGCCAGGAAGCCAAAGGTCTTAAAGCAGTCAGTTTTTGGAACATATGCGAGAGGTTGGTTTCTCATGCAATGCATTGGACAGAACTCCAGAAGAACACATGCTGATACCCCTGAAAAGCAACTGTCATTATTGCATAGATCAGATGCCCATTTCACTTCCCAGGAATATGTCTTTCTGAAAGTGCATTTCTATTTTATAGACAGTAAACAGATCATTTTACAGCAGTGGGAAAACACAGATCCATGTACCAAATTTGGACCATCAGGCCTCCCCACTTGACCCATGAAGTCATTTGACCAAGCCATGGGAATAGAGGTATTGCGTTAAAGGGATCCATGAGGAGGTGCTTCTGTCTGGATGCCCAGGCTAGGGCCATACCACTCACTGAGATGGCACTCCACTGAGAGGTGGTGCCTATTTGATGTATGCCGTACATCAATTAATGCCGACCTTGTTGTTGTTGTTTAGTCCTTTAGTCGTGTCCGACTCTTCATGACCCCATGGACCAGAGCACGCCAGGCACTTCTGTCTTCCACTGCCTCCCGCAGTTTGGTCACACTCTTGCTGGTAGCTTTGAGAACACTGTCCAACCATCTCGTCCTCTGTCGTCCCCTTCTCCTTGTGCCCTCCATCTTTCCCAACATCAGGGTCTTTTCCAGGGAGTCTTCTCTTCTCATGAGGCGGCCAAAGTATTGGAGCCTCAGCTTCAGGATCTGTCCTTTCAGTGAGCACTCAGGGCTGATTTCCTTAAGAATGGAGAGGTTTGATCTTCTTGCAGTCCATGGGACTCTGCCAACCTACGTAGCATCAAAAGGTCGGTCTTTTATATTCTGCTGCCAACGTTAGCGGGCTTTATTGTTTTGTGCGCTTGTTGGCATCGTAGTTAATGGATAGTCTTTCCCCCCTAAAAAAAAAAAAGCTCAACAGCTCTGGCATTTCCCCCCTAATAAAAGTTCAACAATTTTTGCCTCTCTTCCCCCAAAAAAGCTCCTCCCCCCCTCCAATGGCAACAGGTAGATCACTGCAGTCTCTTGGGAGTTGGATCATCTCACAGTCAGACTGGTTGATATCTGTTGTAACCCAATGCCTTTGCCAAACAACTTGCATTTGTAATCGATTAAGGTGTGGCCCAATCATGTTGTCACATGTGGTCTTTGGTCAGAAGTAGCTTGTGAGGTGGAGAGCTACAACATGGCACCTGGACTTGCAAAAGATTGGTCAAGAGCCTGGGGAAAATTAAAGCAGGCTGGAACTCTATACATATGTACTAGGAAGTTCCCTGGAAATGAGAATATACCAGGCCGGACTATTGGTCTCTTGAGCCAAGCATCACCTACTACAGCAAGTCTCCGGCAAGGTATTTGCTAGCCCTGCTTACCTGAGATCTTTGAAATAGCAGATACTGGGAACTAAAAATGGGGCCTCCTGTATCCAAAGCATGTGCTGAGCTATGTTTCCTCAACACCACCCCAAATTCTGGGGCAGAACTCATGTGCAGTGATGAAAAGAATGTTGTGTTGGGATAAGCTGGAGTGAATAAACTTCCCTCTTAGCTCATGACTCTCTACAAAATATTCACAGTGTGTTTAGTCAGGTGTTCAGACCCACTGTGATCATGGAACTGCTTCCTGGTCAGTGTGCATAGGCTCAGCTTACAAACAATCTCTTTAAGGCTCCGGAGACTGCACAAGTGTACAGAAATGCAAAGAAATAACAAACCTTAATTGCAATGGCCTTGATGCTGATTAGCTTTATTCAAATGATGTGCACTGGAAATAAGTGGATGAGATTGGGCCCTGCAGCACATGTTCTGCTGAGCTGAAGAAAGTAAACTTTTTTTTTCAAGTTTCAAGCATAGCCCTCCCGTTCAGTGCTTTCCACCAGGAGCAGTCCTTGTCTTCTGGCTTCTGTGGGTATGTACCAAGACATCATCACCATCTAATTCCCACAGAAGTTCAGAAGCGAAAGCATTTGCACAGTTCACACACCAGCTTAATCATAGAGAAAGGATAGCATTTGCATAGCTCATGCTGGTCCGAAGGACCATGTTACTCTGGGTGACGCTCTAAGCCATTTTAACTCACTGTTGTATACTCAGTAAGGTGAATAGTCCTAGGAATAGTGCTACTTGAGTTTGGGCGTCCTTTAGAGTGGGAGCAGAAGGAGGATTCTTCAGCCCAAGTGCCACATTCCCTCATCAGCAGTTTTTCCAGGAGCTACACATGTCTTCATCAGTAGAGCATGAGACTTTTAATCTCAAGATTGTGGGTTTGAGCCCCATGTTGGGCAAAAGATTCCTGCATTGCAGGGGGTTGAACCAGTTGACCCTTATGGTCCCTTCCAGCTCCACAATTTTAAGATTCTACGATTCCAGGGTTAAAAGCAGGTGGTGCCAGGAGCAAAAGTTGACAACAGAACAGATGTGACTCCTATCTCTGTATAGTAGGTGACATCACTGCCACCTAAAAGCCAGTTTTCTACTCCCCAGCACTGTTACATATCTTGCCATCCTCCACCCAGGCAAGTGAGAGGCATTATCACAGTTCAAGGTTACCGTATTTTTCACTCTATAAGACATACCAGACCACAAGACGCACCTAGTTTTTGGAGGAGGAAAACAAGGAAAAAAAATATTCTGAATCTCAGAAGCCAGAACAGCAAGAGGGATCGCTGTGCAGTGAAAGCAGCAATCCTTCTTGCTGTTCTGGCTTCTGTGATAGCTGCGCAGCCTGCATTCGCTCCATAAGACGCACACATGATTCCCCTTACTTTTTAGGAGGGAAAAAGTGAGTCTTATAGAGCAAAAATTACGGTACATTCCATCTGAACAAATGCACTTGAGGAGACTCCTAGTTCTGATGGCTGACACTCAAGGGAGATCTCTACATAACCCCCAGCCATCAGTCAGTCACTGGGTTATTCAGAAGAGATACCTAACAAAGGAAGGTTCCCTGACCATCTTAAAGTCACTCTTAAGTTTTGGATGGAAGGGCCAAAGCAGAATGAAGCCTGCAGCTACAGCAGTTCCTTGCAACAGTTGCCTTAAAAGGTGTTTGAAGGTAAATAGTCCTTCTAAGATACAGTTACACTGCAGGAAGCTTAGGGAGAATTGTTCTGTTCTTGTGTGAATTAATATTCTCTCAGTGTCTGTTGCTCTCTGCCTCTGGACACTGTAAATATGAGTGTCCCTGAGAAGGAGCCTAACTGCTTCAGCCCCTAGGTAGTTTCTCTTCACAGAATAAGTACTATGTCCCTGGGGTTTGCCAGCTGAGTCCTTCTGTTTCCTTTGCCAACTCCCATTTTCCCAAGTAGGTTATGATGAATGATGCCCTGAGGTACGCCATACGTTTGAGGGAGCCTTTAGAAGCAGATTTTCTGTTCAAAGATGGAGCAATAAACTGCAATGATTCTGGCACCTTGCACCTAGTGCATGCCAATTCAGATGCACAACTGACCCCACTAGAAAATACTCCCAAGTAGCTATGTATATAGCACCTAGGCTGTGACCCAAAACACACTTACAGGAGAGTGTGTCCTATTGAAGAAAGAGGGATTTGCTCTTGAATAAATATGTATAAGAATAAGGTGCTCTAAAGTCTCTCTACATTTGCTTAAGAATGAGCCCCAATTGTACATAGTGAGGTCTACTACAGAGTAAATGTGAGCCAGAAAGCAGACTTCATGTCAGCTTGCAGTGGCCCTGCAGCAACTAACCATCACCTTTCCCCAAGAATGTTGTACAGGAAAATTAGGACGTTCCATAGCAAAAGTGTGATCAGTGATTCCAACCAATCAATAATACACCACCCATCTGGGGAACCTTCAATAAAATATAAAAAACCAATATAACATCAAACATTAAACATTTCCTGATAAAGGACTGGCTTCAGATGTCTTTTAGAAGTTGCGTAGTTCTTATCACCTCAACATCTGATGGGAGGGTGTTCCACAGGGTGGGCGCCACTACTGAGAAGACCCTCTGCCTGGTTCCATGTAATCTCACTTCTCGCAGTGAGGGAACTGCCAGAAGGCCATCGGATCTGGACCTCAGTGTCTGGGTTGCATGATGGGGGTGGAGACGCTCCTTCAGATACAAGGACCGAGGCTGCTTAGAGCTTTAAAGGTCAGCATCAACACTTTGAATTGTGCTCAGAAATGTACTGGGAACCAATGTAGATCCTTTAGGACTGGTGTTATATGGTTCCAGCAGCCGCTCCCAGCCATCAGTCTAGGTGCTGCATTCTTGATTAATTAGTTACATCCTCACACATCCAAGAAGCATAGCAATTGCAATCACCCACACACAAACATACTGTACCAAGATACCCTGCCTCCCCACAATGGTTAATAAGTTTGATGCACAGATCCCTCCCCTACTCCTTCCTTTTCGAATGCTGTTCCCATCATCTGCTCTCCAATATCCATAAGAATGCAAGTACTGTTATTGATGGTGCATTGTGCCATGTTTGTGTACGGCAGCATTATGCTCCAGTACAATACATTTTCTTGGCTTAAACCTGAAATAGAAACCATCAATTGTGTCCACAGTATTTTGCTGCATGCAACAACTTTTGTAAGGAAGCAAACGCTTTCATAGAAAACCTAAATTCCTCCTGTAGGGCACAAAATGAGATAGAAGGTAATAGAAAATGGAGCATTATGGCAATATTTTAGCAACACCATCGAGAGAGGAAGGAAGGGAAGGAGAAAAGCAGCACTGGAAACTCAGTTTTACAATGTTGCCCTTTTGATGGCGGAAAGGACAGACTAAACTGAATCAGAACTGCAGAGAGGTGTTTGCAGCAAGGAAGTTTGGGTCTGAAATGTCTTAGGATGCTCTCTGCACAGTTACTCTTCAATGGCACAAACCTTGACAGCAATTTCTTATTTCACCAGATTTTTTTTTAAATGGAAGATATTGATGATTAGTAGTTGTGATTTATGGAACAACCCCCAAGTGTTGAGTGGAAATCAGAATTCACAGGCACAGGAGGGCAGGGCCTTTTTGGTACTGGCCCCATGCTTGTTGAATTCTCTCCCTAGGGAAATTATAGAGAACTGGCTTTCAAGTAGACCCTGAAAACGTTTTACACTCGCAATTTCTTAATATGTAGCACTCTTGCATTGTTTTACTGCTGCTGCTTTAATGTGGGACTTATTCCCAATAAGTGGGTTTAAAATTGCAGCCACACAAAACCCCAAACTCTCATTAGATATGGTGGAATGGCTATCATGTCTAATAGTTGCCCAATCTGGGAGGTTGGTTACCAGAGCATAGACAACAGAAGTTAGGCTATCCCTGTCCAGACAGGGGCACAGCTGGGCCACCAGCCAAACTGGTGGAAGACACTCTACATCATCGAGGCCACCTGAGCCTCAAGTGAGAGTGAAGGACCCTGAAGTACCCCTAAGCAACATACCTGCTCCTTCAGAGGGAGTGTAACTCCACCAAGAGTAAGCCACCTCTCATCCACCCAGTCTAGGTAACCAACCCTCCCTAACACTCCCTTAGTCTTATTGGGACTGAGTGTCACTTTATTTAGTCACATCTAGTCCATTACCAAGGCAAGACATCAGCCCAAGACATCACCACCACACCTGCAGATATAAATGAGAAGAGTCGTAAAACGAGGGCTAGCAGCTGGGACTTCCAAGAGGCTGGGGGACTCTCTTGCTGTTCTTAAGTCTCCCCTGGATGAAAGATGAGGTAGTCTGCTGCAGATCATTTAGCCTACAGAGAAGACCTCGCCCTCTCTGAACTGTATTTAGGTTATGCTGCAGAGTGTGAGAATGTTCAGGGAGACAGGAGAGGAAATGTTGTTTGTTAATATCCTTCCTAACTTGCGCTAACAGGTTCCTTTACTTAGCAGAGTATACATTCTCCTTTTGACGCACAGCAGATAGCTGGTTGCAGGCTTGTGTAAGCCTCTCACTGTCATACAATTCAGTATTGAATTGTATGTTCCTGGTAAGTTCCCTTTTATCCCTCTTAAAAGAATAAAGACACGACAAACATATTTAAAGTCAAAAAAAGAAGTTTACTTACATTCAGTTCACAGTTGGATCCCTGAAGGCAGACTCAGTTACAAATATGTACATTTAGATCTACCCCTTATGGGGGAATAATCCCAGTGCTTCTGCTAGCTGGGAAGCTAGCAGAACATTTCTAGGTAAGAAGCTGGTCCGACAAAGAAGGAAGTGAAAAAGAGAGTGTGGCAGCATGCCTTGTTCTTTTGTTACCTGGACAGGTAAGGTCACGCCCACCTCTAGTCACATGCCAAAGGAAGGATGTTCCAGCCAAGGAGGAAACAGGAAGTTTCGACTGGCTGGACCAAACATCCCCTTGCATGTCCACTCTAGGAAAACAAGGAATGTTGGGTTTGGCTGCTCTCGGTGGATTACATCCCACACAGGGGCTCCTTGGTGTGCAGTAAGGCCAACAGCAGCAGCTGGGACTTAATTGTCTGTTAACTTTTTCTCCTTTTTGCTCTGTACTTATGACTAAGTCTAGATTATTTCTTTTGCAATATTGAACTTATTTCATTTGCTAAGTTGTTGACCTTTTCCCTTATCTCACTTCGTTGACATGCTTTGCAAACACTTTTCCTCTCCTCTTCCTCCACACACACCTCTCAATGTTTTGTGGACGGGTGTTGTAAGCTGCTTTGGTGTCCAGATCACAGTGGAAATGGAGCATACAAAGAAACTCAACCAATTAATCAACACGTTTGGCTGTTCCAGCTGTGTGGGGGCAGTGGGAATGGAATTTCAATGACGTCTCTTTCTTGCCAGTGGTGCATCTCATCTCCTGGGCTCCTGCCAAATCCTGTAGCTCCTCAGCAAGTGGCAGTGATAGAGTGGGAAAGTTCTCAGTGCTCTGTTTTTGTGCAGAACATTTTCCATTTCATATGCCCCTTGGTAACAATGAGTGCATGCCAAGTGCAAAATCAATTATTAGGCAACCTTGACAGTTTTCAAGCTTTGTTTACTAAATACAAGTAAATTAAAGATGATAAATTAGATCACTCTCTGGGACATTAAAAAAAATATCCAGTGCAAATGGAACTTTTACCTTACTTTGCATAAGATTTTTTTTTGGGGGGGAGGGGAATCCAACTGACATTTTTGCTCTAGAAAACTCACATCTAAATGTCAAAATGAGGGTGAACTGAGACTGTATGCCAGGGACCCTAGAGGAGCTGAAGCAGTATACCAGGAATAGGGAACCTGTGGTTCACTAGATATTGGTGGACTCCAACTTCCACCAGTCATGTTTTAGACATTGCTCT